AGCCTGGTGTGGGAGAGGACATGAGCTGCAGAGTTCTGGATGATCTGCAGCTTGTGGAGGGAGAAGTTGACCAGCAGGAAGTTGGCATAGTCGAGCCTAGATGTGATAAATGCGTGGATGGTGTCATCTGAAGGATAGAACCTCCAACAATGCAGTACATTCCCAGCCCAGCACTGCAGGGGAGTATCAGCCCAACATAGAATTAAACTCACAACATTATGACTCAGAGGCGACAGTTCTACCAACTAAGCAAAGCTGATACACATAAGGAAGTTCTTTGAAAGCATTTAAATACAAATTGATCACGTTTTAAAGCCCACAATATTTACATCATAGAATCATAGAATCGTACAGCACAAAAAAAGGCCATTCGGCCCATCGAGTTTGTGCCAGCTCTGTGAATAGAGCAATTAATGTCAACCCACTCCCTAGCCTTTTCCCCATAACCCTGCAAACCCGTCCTCCTCAAATACCCGTCCACCACGTTTTTAAAAGTAGTTATCGAATCGGCCTCGACCAACCTTCCACTTCCCCCCCTTCCATCCATCACCAAGGGCTACAGATACCTACAGTGATTAGAGAATAAGGAGCTAGTACATTCTGTACTTTAATCAATTTTACTCAATATAATCCTTTATTACAGAATAATGTAAATGCTATCTGATGAAATGTCTAAAAGGTGTTATTAATAAAGAGCTAATGCAATATAAGAGCACATATTTTATTTATAAGTCTACAGCTTTGTAATCAATCAAACTCATTTAATGTACAATATGCAGCATATATTCATATACAATAATGTCATAAACAAAACTTAGATAAAACACTTAATTTATATTCAAAATATTTAACAGTAGTTTTGAAGCAATGAGTGTCATAAATTACCCATTTTCTGAGTCATTTATATTTTTAACATTCATATAGTCATCTTGCCCAATTCTTTTGGGGTACCTTATTCAACCCATACAAATTTCTCCATAAGGAAATTACTTCACCAATCATAATGAATTCCCTGGAAATGCTGCAGGAGAAAAACTATGGGGTTAAATTCAGTATAAGATACAATACAAAATTACAATCCAAAATTACATTTGTAAAGCGCTTTCACATCGGGAAGATGTCCCATGATGATAAAATTATCGTAGGTTGATAGTTTTTACATGGCAAACCTTATTTATCACCTGATATCAAATAGTCTCACTTATCCAGATTTCTAATATAATATCTTAAAAACGTATCCATTTATTATACCCACATAATTAGGTGCAACGCTTTCACCTGTGAATCATCCATTTAACCCAAATAAAGATGACTCTCGGAAACATCAAGGCAATTCACTGATAAAGTTTATCCACCTCTCATAGTTTGAGCTTGTAAGATCTAACTTGTTAGTATCTCTCTGTATCATATTATTCGGTATGCAGCCTCTGCTAATGGACAAAGACAGAAAAAAATACTGGAATGAATGGATCAGGTCCATTCCTTCCAAAGATCTTGAACCTATTGATATCCTGAGGGAAATATGTTAACTTTCTTTGATGAACCACCCAGAGATAATAATAATATAATATTTTTTGCATTTGATATAGTGCTTATTATGTCTTCGAGACGTCTCAAAGCGCTTCACAGAATATACTGTAAAATGTAGTGACTGTGTATTTTGTGGGTGAAACGCAGCAGCCAATTGCACCCATATAAAAGTGCTTTACAAATAATGACTTTCAAGTGTGGTGACTGTTTTTTTAAAAGCAAATGTAACAGCTTGTTCACCAACAAAGTCCTACAAACAGCTATAAAGTGAATGATCAATTAAACTGAAGGATTGTTAGCGAGGACACCATGAGAAAACTCCCTTCTCTTTTGAAATAGTATCATGAGATCTTCAATAACCAATGCTGAAATTGAGTTAGCCCACGGAAGGCATATTTGGCCATAACTAGGGCTCACACCTGAACTAGCAGCAATGCAAACTGAGCACCTTAAGTACATGTTCATTTCACCAATAAAACATTCACCAACTTGCAATTCTCTTTCTGTAAAATTTGTTCGTTCTGCCATTGGCAAAAATAGGATAGTTTGAGTTCACAGATGTCTGGCAGTTGCTATTTTTAAAGTGGATATGAGATGCTAAAGTGGTATTTATTATTTTTGTAGAATTGCTGATGGATTCACGAGAAGAATAATTTACTGAAATGGGACTGTTTGTAATAACAGTCACACTTTTCAATGAATAATCATACAGATTTTTCAGAAAGGAAGAGGTAGTGTTCAATTCTTTTTTAAAAAGAATTATGTAACATTTCGGAAAAAAGTGACAACCTAATATTCCATAGGTGGAAGATAAAATTGTAACCATTTCCACAGCAGGAAGATATTTGCCCTGAGTAGTTACATAGACTGGCACAAATGTAACCCATGAGATGAAGTATATTAACATGCTGAAGGTAATAAATTTTGCCTCATTGTAGTTCTCGGGCAATTTTCTACTTTTAAAGGCAAACATGAAACAAATTAGTGATAGGAAAGCTATGTATCCTAGCATGACAGCAAATGCTGCATAAGAACCCTCATTGCACTCCAGCAGAATTTCTTTTGGAAATCTCTTGCTTTCCTTATGAGGCTGCGGACCGTCGAAAACTAACCACATTGTGCATATGACTATCTGAAGCCCAGTACAAATACCTTTGATGGCCCAAGGCTTGTAGAAGTGCTTCAAATTTTCCTGTTCAGCCGGGTTGAAGTTGAACGCTAGCAGTATTTTAAATGATTTTGTCAGTGCGCACGAAACACAAAGGGCAAAGCTGATGCCAAATAAAGGCTGCCTTATTTTACAAGTGATTTTGGTTGGTGTTCCAATGAAGAATCCAACGCTCGCAAAACTGCATAACAGAGAGAAAAGCATAATAAAGCACATAACCCCACCATTGGCCTTTACAGATGGTGTGTCCATATATTTGATAAAGATGACAGCTATTACAATGATCAGAACAATTCCGAAGGCTGCAAAAGCCAGCAGTACGATAGCAAAACCATCAGTCCAGTCAAGAAATGAAAATACTTTTTTATAACATTTAGCACTTTTTATTGGGGCCCACTCATCTTCCAAGCAGACAAAACACATCTGTGCATCTGAAAGTAAGAAAAAAGCTTTAATTTTTTCAGGAAAATAACACACATAAAATACCAAATTGAAGCTCTCTGCAAGCATACTTTATTTCTCTGGGTTGGCAGTGCCTTGAACATTTATAGAGGTTATATTCTGATAAAATAAACTGTAAGCAAATGTTCACTGTGTTTCTTTGCAAAAATAGATAATAATAATCCTTGCAATTGACATAGTGTCTTATCACATCACTAAGATGTCTCCAAGCGCTTCACAGAATATACTGTGAAGTGAATTAACTCCATTTTCAAGTCCCTCCACCTCATACCCCCTCCCTCCCCATTTTTTAAAGTCCGCATTAAGAATTATCTCTTTGTCTTTCAGTCACCTTCCCCTTCCTCACCCTCTTCAGCTCCCTCTCTCCTCTGACTCAGTTGCCTATCCCAGCTGTGTAAAGCACTTTGAGATATCCTCCTGAACGTTTGCTGATAGTATTGCATTGTATATTTCCTGTAAATTGATATAGATCTTTGATTGAGCCAATTATATTGACCAGGAAGCACTCTGTTGTCTTTGTGTGGTGTCTAGACCATTTTAAAGGTTTTAAAATTCTTTCCAAATCTCTTGTTAGTCTATATTTTGTTCACAACTATATAAATGTGTATATTGAAGGTTGTACAAGATTTGTGGTCAATAACGTAGTACTGTAATATAAACTATGAGTTTGGTGAAATGAGTGGTATTGTTTTCATTCATCGCTGCTCTATTTAGTTAGTACCACGAGAAGTGCCTTGAATCAGTGGTGTGAAATTTATAACCTTTGATAATGTGTGCCTTGCAAGGAATATATTATAAAACAACATAAATTACACTACTGTCACCAAACATTCATTTGTCAGTCAAATGCTGCCTCTGCCTTTCACCCAAGGCTTCCAGCTGCTAATCCACCACCATTGTGGATTTGTGAACCATAGAGAGTCATTGTATCTGCTGGTTTTAAGGTAGGTTTGCATTTAAAGGTAGAAGAACTTTAAAAAATATATTGTTTGGTTTCTCTCAGATTCAATGATCATCCCAAAGAATTGCTCATTCCTCACCACCTTGCCGCGGCACAATGGGACCAGGTACAATACAGTTTCCTGTACATTTCTATGTTCTAATTATATTCCTCTTTTCTTAATCCGCATTTTTCATGAAACGTCAATAGGACTCTGGTGAGCAAGTTCATCAGGACCAAGTGTTACCAATACATACTTCCTGCTCTTGCAACATTTATGACTATTTCATACACGGGACACAATGTAGGACAGTCTTTCCGAACTAGCCATTTGCCAGTAGATTTACAGATTACCTACCAGTTGTGTTGGAGAATGTATTGTTATTGCATCGCACACAGTTGTAGCAACACGTGTGTTGGCCCTGGGATGATTGCTTTATTTCTCCAGGTTGGCAGTGCTTTGAACATTCAGAAGTTATTTTCTGATAAAAAAATTACAGGAATAACAAGACATTTAGAAACGTGGAAACAAAATTGGGGGATACCGATCCCCACAAAATCTCTTTTAGAATTGTAGCATCAACTAGGTTTGACAAAGCGTTAATTAAATGCAGTTGAAAACCAAACAAGTCATCTTATTTTTAGTCGTGTGGTATTGAATGATATTGAGACTACATTGTTTTAAAAAATCTGCAACTTGGTTATCTAAACTAAGCTGACCAAGAGTCTCAAGAAGTAACATAAATACATAGATGCTGGAAGATTTAACACAGAGAAAGAAATATTGTATTCTAAATGCAAATGACCTATTGGACTGTTTGAAAGGGTTTGAGCCATTGGAGTCCAATATGAGACATCTTCACAATTGTGCCCAATCTTACATTTTAAGACAAAATGGTCTTACAGGATCTCATGCTGAACAAGAAGCAGTTGCCATGTATACACAAATAAGGGGACATCCATTAGCAGAGGTGGGGAAGGAGTTTGATTACTGATTTACCAGAGGTTTGCAAGCATGAGGATCCTGCTGTCAACAAAGCTAATCAAATATTGAATTGCATCTTGAGAGGTTTTCAATAAAAGCTGAAAGAAGTTATTCTAACCTGTACTAATTGCTGGTGTGGCCACATTTGTAATGTTCGATTGAAAATGCAGTATTTAAATCCTGTGAAACTTTCAGACACTTTGAGACATCCTCTTTATATGAAATCAAATGCAAGGTGGCTTCCAGTTCACAAGTGAAATTGCAGGATTTACTATGAAAAGATATTCCCATACCAAAAGCCTCAAAAACACTATTTTGTAGATGGTGTTTTGCTTTCCAACACCTTTGTCTGACATTCTAATTCTTTAATTAGAATTAGGGCTTGAGATGGGCTTTGAAGAAGGCGAGGGAGGGAGCGAGGCGGAGGGACTGTTGAATGGAGTTTCAAAGGGTGGGGGCAGAGAGGCTGAAGGCCTGTTGCCCTGTTAAACAGGGGAAGAGGACGGTGGTGAGAGCGAATTTTGTGGTTGTCGGGTTCTCTTGCGGTTTGTGCAATATTATCCATTGATTCGACAGATTAGCTAACACCTGGTTATTGCACAAACCAACATACATCCAGTGCCTTGGGATGTCCTCCCAACGTGGAAGGCGCTAAACAAATGTAATGTGTTGTTGTATTGTTCAGGCTCTGCTGTTTCTAAGTGAGCAACAGAGGCCAATGTCTGAGGCAAGAACCATCAGTCACAGCTGATCCTGCACAGTCTTGCCTTGCTTCATTTGCTTTGGTTACTTATATAGCAACATAGGAACAGGAGTGGAGTCCTGTAGCTCAGTGGTTAGAGCACTCGCTTTGCAAGTGAGAGACCTGAGTTCAATTCCAGGCAGAGGGCGAAACCTTGGGCAAGTTTCCTTACTCCACACAGAGCCTAATAATAATCCCTCCAAAACCAAAAACAATAATAAATTGGTCATTTTCAATCTACGACTGTCTGAGGTACATTGCTGTGCGCAATTGGCTGCCCCGTTCGCCCACAAATATACAGTCAATTCACTTTACAGTGTGTTCTGTGAAGCGCTTTGGGACGTCCTCCAGACGTGAAAAGCGCTATATCAAATGCCAGGATTATTATTATTATTATTAATAAGCTGAAGAATGGGTTGAAAACAAAAGTCAACCACAATTGTGATTTCCTTGTGAAAATCTAATTTTCAATCCCAACTGTGTATGTTTGAGCATGCAATAGGACATAAAAACATTGCAAACAACAACTTGCATGTATATAATGCCATCCACTCAGGAGAGCGTCTCAGAGTTCTTAATAGTGGCGGAGCCTGACTCTGAGCCAGGGGGAGGTGGGAGGTGGCTGGAAGCACGGTCCAAGAGGAAAGTTTTCAGGTGGGACTTGAAAGAGGGGAGAGGGGGGGCAAAGCTGTGGGATTGAGGGTTTGGTCCATTCCCACATTGCAAAACAATGTACATGCAAAGCTTTAAGTTATGGGACAAAAACAGAGAGCGCTGGGAAAACTCAGCAGGTCAGGCAGCATCTATGGAGAAAGGAAAGTGAGTCAATGTTCTGGGTCCACGATCCTTCGTCAGAACAGACCCTTTGTTGTTTGACCCTTCGTCAAACTCTGTTCTGACGAAGGGTCGTGGACCCCAAAAGTTGACTCACTTTCCTTTCTCCATAGATGCTGCCTGACCTGCTGAGTTTTCCCAGCTCTCTTTGTTTTTGTTTCAGATTCCAGCACCTGCAGTATTTTGTGTTTTGTTCTAAGTTATGGGGAATGACTCACTTAATTCATTTTCAATAGAAACAAGCAAATTCAACAGCCACATGATCCAGCTCTTTAAAATGCTGAGATACACAAATGCTCCACATCCCCCACTGGATAGAATTCAAGAATTCAAGATCTTCATCCTCATTCTCAAATCCCTCCATGGCCTTGTCTCAACCTACCTCTGCGATCTGCTGCAACCCTAACACCTCATCTGTTCAACGCTTTGGGACGTACCCTCGACATGAAAGGCGCTCTATAAATCCAGTTTTGTTGTTGCTACTATCCCCTTCACAGTTTGTTACTTTTCCTAGCTTAGTATCATTGGAAAACTTGAAAATTGTACTCCCTATACCCAATCCAGGTCATTTATATAGATCAAAAATGTAGTTGTTGTATTTTGTTGTTGTTCCCTCTGCTCAGTTATCACCGATCTGCTTCATGTCCCCCACCTGATCTATCTGAACATCATTAGGCAAGTTTACAGCCTTTCTGCCCCTGCTCTCTGGAACTCCAGAAGGGCATTCTTCCACTTCACCCCATGCCACCCCAGTTTTAAAGTCTGACTTAAAACATTAAGACCTATCCACCGTGCCTACTGGGACCTTCCTTCTCTCCCTGGCTCAGCGTCAAGCTCCACCACTGTGCACTCCAAGATACTATTCCAAGTGAAGGGTGCTATATAAATGCAAGTTGTTGTTGTTGTTTTCCACCATACACTTTCGAGAATCTTATCCCACCGCTCACCCTCCTCCTCTTCTTCCCTCTCCCCCTCTGACACATAGGTTTAATTAACAGCCTCAAGGAAGACTGCAGATTAGTGGAGTAATGATTGTATGGTACAGACTCTTAACAAAAGCAGTTCACTCCTTCGATAAAGACCTGGATGAGTATTCATTGGGGAAGATTCCTTAGAGGATATAGGAACAGGTGCAGACTGGAATGAACAAATGCTCTGTGGGATATAATGATTTCTATGTTGCTGGGGTGGATAAGGAAGAGGTGGGGGTGAATGTGTTTGGTGAAGGAAGCTAGAGTTGAACAATGAAGTTATGGGAATGCTCTGGAGTTTTGCTTGATTGCCTTTGGGAACCAGAGAGTTTATATATAGACCATTTGCCCAGGGAAGGAGCGGGTGGGATGCATTCCACTATAAGATACACTGTGTGTGGTCTGGTGGACTTGGCTGAATGGCTGACATAGCTTAATGGCCTTTCTCATTTCATGATTTCTTATAGAATTTGACAGCACAGGGGACTACTGTACTTATCCATAATACCTGATCGGAAAGCGCTATCAATTTTGTCCCTCCCCCACCCATTTCTCACACTGTTATACATTTTGTCAAATATTCTCTTTATAAATAATTCTCTTTAACAGGTATTATGGATTTAACCAGTCCTTTTCAAAAGGCATTCCATGTGCTAATAACCTTCTGCTTTTTAAAAGAAATCCTGACCTCTCCCTTGGATTCCCTCTCGTTACCAACTTGAAACCTTTTCCCTCCTATTTGTTTGCAGGTGAGGGTGTGGGTGTTTCACCAGCACTGTGTGCCTTCCAATTCACACAAGACAACATTCCTAATTTGTAATTCTAGATTATCAATGTATTCAACTAAGGGGGCATCATAGAGCAGCATAGTCCAGTGTCCACAGCATCCATGCTCTAAACTTTTCAACCAAATTCACTGAATGGTGATTAGAAGAAAGATTTTTCCTGTTGATTCACCATAACCCAGGGATACGGAAGAAATTGTAGTGTTCCTGCTAGCATCCAGCTGAGATCAAGTAACCCAGCACTGATCTAAAATGCAACGGGTCCCTCCAGGACTGTACGTCTCAGATTCAGTCTTGACAATATCCTCATGCTTTCTTAATAAAAAAAATCAGCGTCTGTGTTGGTGAATATTAATGTCATTGATCCTAGCAGAAATCATTCAACTCGCAAGCTCAGAACAACATTGGATGTACAATACAATGCAAGTTACATTTATATAGGTGATAGCTACCTGAGCTGAGTGAAGGTGGAGGAGACAAAGATGACTGAAAGTGAGGTTGAAGAGATATGTCTTAAGGTGAGGTACACTGGAGAGCTTTCGTTTATATATAAAATAGAAACGCCAGATGTCATACAGCTTCAGTTTCTAAATATAGAGCTGGCAGTTGTCTATATATTTGACCTACTTTACCTGCATATCACAATCTCAGTCTGACAGAAGAAATTATACTTTGTCTTACTCTTTGTTTTCTTTATATGGTTGTTTAACATCTGCAGAATTCTGAATTGTACTTTCAATTGAAGAGTTTGCCTACAAATACACCCAATCACTACAAATTACAGTATATCCTGCAAAGCATGTTGAGATGTCCTCCTGATGGGAAAGGTGCTATAACAAATGCAAAGATTATTTATTTAATAAGAACATAAGAATTAGGAGCAGGAATAGGCCATTCGGCCCTTCGTGCCTACTCCGCCATTCAATAAGATCATGGCTGATCTTCTCACCTAACTCTGATTACCTGCCCTATCCCCATATCCCCTAGTCCCTCTATTTTTCAAGAGTCTATCAGTCTCAGCCTTGAAAATGTTCAAGGACTGAGCATCTACAGCCTTCTGGGGGAGTGAATTCCATAAGTTCACTACCCTCTGAGTGAAGAAATGTTTCCTCAACTCTGTTCTAAGAGGCTGACCCTTAATTTTAAGACTGTGACCCCTGGTTATAGATTCTCCTACCAAAGGAAACAGTCCCTCTGTGTCTACTTTATCCAGCCCTTTAAGAATCTTATAAGTTTCAATAAGATTCCCCTCTAATTCTCCTGCACTCTAGAGAATACAGCCCTAGTTTATTCAGCCTATCCTCATAGGTCAGTCCCCTCATCCCAGGAACTAACCGAGTGAATCTACGCTGCACCCCCTCTAGGGCAAGTATGTCCTTTTTTAAATAAGGAGACCAAAACTACACACAATACTCTAGGTGCGGTCTCACCAAAGCCCTATACAGTTGCAGCAAGGCTTCCCTACTCTGATATTCTAAACCTTTCAAAATGAACGCTAACATGCCGTTCGCATTCTTAATTGCTGCTGCACCTCCAAACTAACTTTTTGGGACTGGTGTACAAGGACACCCAAATCCCTTTGAATGTACAGTTATTAGTACTATACAATGTTACCTTCAATATTTTAAACCTGGCATCTTTGATTGTGAAGTTATCCTCCTGTATATTATATTCAGCCACTGTATGGTTAAACTCCATCTTGCCATTCACTGATTTCCACATGACAATGTCATATCCAGAGATAAACTCTCCTGAAGAATCAAATTGGAATTTTTTCTCATCGTCAGTAAAGTTCACTTTCTTAAGTTCTTCCAATAGCTGTAATACAATTTGGAAAAACATAAATGCAAATATAATTGAAATACTTTTTTAAAAAAATTAAATTTTTATTATACAATTACAAAAGAAAATTATATTAAAAAGATTAAGAGGAGACCTGAGAGAAGTGTTTAACATTATGAAAGGAATTAATAAAGTGGACAATGATAAGTGGTTTCCATTTGTTGGTGAATTCAAGACAAGAGAGCATAAACCTAAGATAGCTAATAATGGATTGTAAAGCAAATTTAGCAGGAACTTCTTCACACAGAGGGTGACGAGAATATGGAACTCACTGCCTGAAGCTGTGGTGAAGCAAAAAGCATCAATGTATTTAATAGGAAACATTTTTTTGGTCATGTGGAAACCCATTACTGTACTTAATAGTAATCAAACCAAACTGAGAGTTCCATGCATCCCACCTATTCATAGCAATTCCTGTCTATTGGAGTGGAATGCACACTCTCTCGCCGGAGGGACACATCCTGCTTAACTGTGAGCATTAGGTCAGGCTGACAAGTCCCAAGGCTTGGGGACCCCACATTGTGTGTTGAGCTACTGCTGGAGTCTAACCAGCTAAAACTACTTGTCACTGAAAACACTGTCTGTCATGCAATCCCCTACTTGTCCAGCTACTACTACCCTATCCATTAGGGCTTTGGCATTCAGTGACTCATCTGTCCCTCCATGTCCTATGGTTGAGCCAAGCTGACTGTCCTGTCATTAGCAATGCCCTGAAGTACTGTATTACTGCATGGCTTAGGAACCAGACTACTGAGACCACCACAGAGGGTTGACTTGATTCCAATATTCCGTAACCAAGCATGTCCACTGGAGTGAGTTCAGCTCTAAGGAACCCTGCTTACCTCCTCTGCAAGAGGAAACTTGATGCATACATGAGGGAAAGGGGAATAGAGTATATAGAAGAAGGGAGTAGTAGAGACGGAGGCTTGTGTGGAGTATAAACATTGTCTATTTGGCCTGAATAGCCTTTTTCCATGCTGTATCATTTGATGTAATTCTATCTGAAGGATGTTTTGAGGAAGGGTATTATGTAGTAGCATGTGAACAGCAAGTAGAGCAGACAGATGTAATGGAGAATCTTGGAAGCAGACTGATTACACGTGACTTTAAATCTGTAAAATGTTTATATTGTGATAGCTTTGAACTGAATGTGACCCACAACCTTCCCTAGAGGATAGTTGATGTGGAGTGCAGAATTTGTCAAGATTACATTGACAGGTTAAGGACAGATTCTAGTGACATCCCCCTATACTTGACAGCAATTATCTGTGAAGCTTGGGATGTTTTGATTTTATACATATTATACAAAATGCAAAGTTTATGACTATTTGGACCAAATTCTGTCTGTAGGTTGTAAGAATTGGTTGAGTGCACAGCATATTTTTATTCTGGAAGTAAAAACAAAATCAGTACCATTTCTGATAATTTCCTCCAAGCAAAAGATGATAGATCATCTTGGGAATGTAATGATGTTCGTACCATATGGAAGTGATAATACATGAGTTTATAGTTTTATAATTAAAGTAGGAGCTATTGATGTAAAAATGAAATGACTGGATTTCTATCCCTGCTATAACAGCAATCCAGGCCACGTGCTTCCAAAGCACCAAAGTGCAGGTTTGCGGAATATTGCCTCTTGCACATTTAATGTTCAATTTTTTAGCCTCAAGCATGTCTGCCTGGACAGAATAAAACAGCAGCATAACTTGTAGATGTGTAATATTAACATTGGCAGTTAGGATAGCGGGAAGGCATGGAATGCTGATTTGTTCTACATTTGTTTGGCTTCATAAAATCACAAGATTGGTTCAGGTGACCATTCAATTTCATACCACCAGAATATGGACCCTACTGTTCTCCCATCACAGCATCAAGCTGCTTTTCAAATGAGTCCAGTTTCCTGGCCTCTACCACCCTTCCTGGTAAATTATTCCAGGTATTAATTGCCCTCTTTGTAAAATCTTCTGGTATCTGTCCTAAAATTGCCCTTTGCAACTCTAAACTTTATGTCCTCTGTTTTCTACTGTCTTGTTGCATCTTATTGTTTTGAGTTTTCCTTTCCAATCATATTTAAAATTTTATACACCTCCATGAGGTCCCCTCTGAGTCGTCTCCACTCAAGATCAAAGAGTCCTAACTTGCTCTGGGAATTGTATTATTATCATTTGAAAATAAATCTTGTTCCCATGTATTTTGAGGCATAAAATTTCAAAAAGTAATGAGTAGTAATTTACCATTAAAAACCGTGTAAAAAGCTTACCATCCAAGGTGCAAAATCAAATGATTTCTGGCAGCGCTCTTCGTTGCATTTAAGTAGATTCCTGAGAGCATGAGCAAGGGCTATGACTGACCAATGTATGCTGGAAATAAAGCCTGGTTCAATATTGTTCACCAGAAAGTCATCTTCCCAGGACCTTCTGTTCGTGAGCTTATTGTGCTTAGAATGTCGAATGAACTTAGGATTCTGAGTTAGGTTTGAAATGCAAGTCTCCAGTTCGTTGTTTTGAATGTCCGCGCAAATGCTTCGTAGCCAGTGATAATCTTCTAGAAATGTGTTACCCGCTGCAGAGTTGATTGGCAAAGTTTTCACATAGTTCTCAAACTTGGAAAGGTTCCTGCTCTTAAATGTAAACCCGACAATATTCCCAATTTTGTGGATTGTCTCCAAATGAGTAACATTTCTGTTGGTTGACCAGCTATCGCTAGCGATCCATGTCTTGTTGACATTGTGCACACTTAATTCCTTGAACAGGTTAATGACGTGAGAGCCTTTTGCAAACACGATTATCACATTCACGGATGATTGGTTGACAACAGTGTTGACTATTCGTTTTATTCTGTCGTTGGTTACCTTGTCAGAGGAATATGACGGAATGACTTCTCGAAATGCGATGCACACGCCCAAGTTCTCTGCATCTGCGATGAAATTGTCGATGCCAGATCGACCATAATCGTCATCACTTGAGATAGTTCCCACCCAGTTCCACTGGGAAATGTGAACCAGCTTAGCCATAGCTTTGGTTTGATAATAGTCACTGGGAATCGTTCTTAAAAATGCAGGAAATCGGGTCTTGTCACTGAGAATCTCAGCAGACGATGAATAGCTGATCTGCAGAAGATTTAAATATTTCACAGTGAAACATATTGCTCAAGTGAAACAGAAGAAGTACACAAAAGCACTAAGTTTGTTGAGTAAAAATAGATTCCTGCAAGGATCAACAGATGTGCATTTCTCTTCAATGCCCAACAAATATGACATATAATAATATAATAATCTTGCATTTGATATAGCGCCTTATCACGTCATTGAGATGTCTCAAAGCGCTTCACAGAATATATTATAAAGTGAATTGATTGTTTTTCATGGGCAAGAAGCGGCAGCCAATTGTGCACAGTTGTGTCCCACAAACAGTCGTGGATTGAGCGACCAGTGATTGAGTGAATTATTTATTTATTTATTGATGATTACCTGTAAATTTCCAATGCTAATGTTATAACTTACAATTCCTCATAGAAATATAGAGAAATATGTAATATTGCACGTATAATAAAATATTTCATCTTTTCTGAATAAACTAAGGAAAAATAACCTTGCTTTATCTTAGTTCAATGTAAAACTTTAGTCCACAAAGGGCCTAAACACCACAAATAATTTTGTTAGCGGCCACACTTTAACTTTTTAGATTTCTCCTTCTTCTGGTGATAAAGTGGGGCCAAAACTTATTTTTTAAGGCCCTAAACCCATGAGAGAAACCCCAAAAGAACTCCTGTCAATCAAAAACTTCTAGCCAAGACAAAGGACAGCGGACAAAGGACATGAGTGGAGGGAGAAACTGAGGCAGCACAGTCACAAGACGTCACAGAGGTAGGGTGGGATGAGGCCATGGAGGCATTTGAATGTGAGGAGAATCTAGAATTTGATCTAATGAAGAATGGGGAGCCAGTGGACCAAGTCAAAATGGGAATAATTGATTCGTACAAGCTGTTGTGGGAGAGGGCAATGGGATACAGTGTTCTTCATAGTCTGCAGCTTCTGTAGAGAGTACCTGGGGAGCATTCATGTTTAGAAGTTAAGAAACCTGTGGGTACGTGTGACTTGTGCTGTGTTTATATTGCTGCGAGCATAGAACCATAGAGCAATAGAAATTTGCAGCACTGAAGGAGACCATTCAGTCCATCACTTCATGTATGTTGTGCGCAAATTGATTTCTGTATTTGCCTACAAAGTAATGATTATTATAGGATTATTATTATCATTGTGTCTGTAATGGTAATCTAAAAGATCTACCTGTTTAGTCCCTCTCTATTGCCTTTTCCTCATATCTCTTTATATTTCACCTATTCAAATATTGAATTCCTTTTTAAAAGCTAATATAGATTTTGTTTCAACTACAGTTCCAGGTACACATCCTAACAACCATCTGTTTAAAAAAATCTTATCTCTCTCTTTGCTCTTTTGGTAATTACTTGAAACCCATGAACCTGTAAACCTCTAGTTACTGACTCACCAGTGGAAAAAATTCTCCTTGTTTATGTTATCAAAACCCTTCAGAATTTTAATCAGTTTTTCTCCCATCTTCTGTATCTTTTGCCCACAAAATATAAAGTCAATTTACTTTCCAGTATATTCTGTGAAATGCTTTGAGAAGTCTCAAAGACATGATAAGGCGCTATATCAAATGCAAGGATTATTATCATTATTAACACTTCCAACTTTCCAATCTTTCCTCATAAGTAAAATAATCAAACCTGCTTTGCCTCCTGTGGTGCAACGAAATGGAAAACAGAAGCCTGATTGATATTGCCTGCTCCACTCAACATTGAATCAGACCCATACAAAAACACCCAATTAAAAAATAGTTTATTGTAAGTTCATGTGCCATCTGAAAAATGCTTCAAGTATGGTTAATTTTATTGATTATTGATACAGTAGAGCAATTAAAAATTATGTTACCTGGGGCATAAGATACAGGCTTAGTATCCTGGCAACTGCAATGCTAACTTCTGATAAGCTTGATCCGACAACAGCTTTTACAGTTGGCAAATAATCTGTATAATTGCATTGAACTTGAACACAGTTGCTTGAAGAATTGGAAAGAAACCTCAAGGCAGCTCTCATCGCCACTGTAGCCTCTGCACAAGTATCATATATTTCGTATCCCAGTTTGACTCCAGGTAACAGAGTGGAATTGTTCACCATCTCAATGGAATGGATCATGGCAAGAGTCCTTACAAAACCCCGCACGTCAAACCTGAATATTAACAACAAATAAGAAAGATTAATTGTAGGCAATGAAGGCGTATCTGAAATTTTTTATATATATTCCAATTTGTCATTAAAAAGGAATTTGATATCAGCTTATGCTGTAGATAGTGCAACTAGGGAAAATGGAAACCAGTGCATTTGAAAAATCTAGGTGGGCTCAATCATTGTCAAACAGCTGGGGGAGGAGGACATACATTGCCAGACATCAAAAGGGACAGAATTTTCAGTGATCCTGATTAGTTTAACATCAAATGTTGCATTTCTTACCTTAATGGTTATTTAGCTTTACTGTAGCTCTATCAGGCTGTAGCTCTCTATCAGGCTACAGTGCCTGGTGGGGTGGAGCTGGCTCTCACATTAGTTCCTCTACCAGCAACAACAACAACAACAACTTCCATTTATATAGCGCTCTCCAGGCTGGGCGGCGTCCCAGAGTGCTTAACAATGGCGGAGCCCAAGGCCAAGCCATGTGGAGGGGCAGTAGCGTAAGTTCTTTGAGCTTTTTAGCAGTCACCCCAAGAGATAGACGTTGGGACAGTTCGCTTTTGTGCAACATAATATCTTGCCAGATCCAGCAAGCACCAGACCCATTTAAGTATTGGAAGCTTTGTTTCACAACTCCAAAACTTGCCATGAAACTTTGTGGAATTGGGCACGATTTATAATTGTATTGATTCTCAGTTGTTGTCCCGGTATTGTGCAGTGCTATATAATCTAGAGACTAAATACGTAGCTTGGGTCTCTTATCAGTAAACGATCAACCGCCTTCATTTTGAAAACACTGCGTGATTGATGAGGCCCTCAAAACAAAGGAATCCTGAGTCCCACCTCTAGGAGATTGTTCACTAACGTGTACAAATCACGCACCATTTGGACATGATGGATTGGCGGACTTTGCAGTTAAGGAAAGTAAAGCAATTTTTACAGGAGAAACTATAGATTTTATGTGTCTTCTCTAGCAAGCTCTTTATTTCAGGATGTTTGGGAAAAATCTTGCTGCTTTTGTGTCTGTTGTTGACGGTCATACCCGACCTGCGTGTAACAAACAGCATGCATCTAGATGCTACCTCATCTGTTAGCTAGTTAGTTCAAACGCTTTGCCTTGAACTCAGTTACTCCTACTTCAGTAAATGACACAGTTACTTTACCACTTTTACAGTATCTCCTCTTCCAGAGTCAAGCTCACCTCTGGAGGCAACTCCTAACTGCACTGTTGACAGTTTTTCCAATATTGTATTTCACAAATCCCTGGATAGAATTGGATTTTTTATTGTATCCGCGTACAGGAGTTCCAACTCTTCAATGTAAAAAGTCGGCAGCAGAAGGTCAGGCAATGTTCCATTTACATATGGATTTCTTGACATATTTGTGCTTTGGGATGTTCTTCTGACATGAAAGGTACTATCTAAATGTAAATTTGCATTGTATCATTGCTATAAGTATTGCAATGCCTTTAAACCTTTGCACATATGTAAAGCACCATTAGAAAATGTATTTGGGTGACAGTTGATACCTAAATAATGGGAGCGGAACCATGAAAAAAAAGCCTGGAGTAAAGTCATCCGATATTCAGGTGCGTCTCCTAGTCTCTGTTATTAAATGGGTAGCAGAGATTAGCAAAAGCAAATTTCTAATGTGGTTCATGCACCCGCAAAACTCTGATGGGGTCACAATATTTGTTTGATGTCATCTTTTAGCCACAATGCCCTTAACCTCTGGACACCCTGCCTGAATCCCTCTGCCTCATCCTTCGTTATTTCTCCTGAAGACCTAACTCTTTGATTACGTTAGCGGTCACCTTGCTCAGCATCCACCTCGCTACTGTGCAGTGTTCCGAAACACTGTCCGGCGGGAAGGGCTCTATATAAATGCAAGTTGGTGTTGTTATGAAGGCATTGGCACTAGTGTGGAATATCATTGCTCACAAGCACTGCCTGCAGCCAATGTAAAATCAGTGGCGGCTCGGAACAATCTCTCTAGTATGGTGCCCATGCTACGTCTCCAAAGCCACAAAATAAAAACGGATTTAGAGTAGCTGTCTTTTACGCACCCAATTAGTCGTATTCATGTTTAATGTGCTTTAACCCACAAAATATACAGCCAATTCACCTTACAGTATATTCTGTAAAGCATTTGAGACGTCTCAAAGATGTGATAAGATGCTATATCAAATGCAAGTATTATTATTATTATTATTTAACAACCTCATTCATGTGCAAACCATTCCAGTGTCTGGTTTTAACGGAAAAGAGTAGGAATAAAAATCTTGCAAATGAGAAACAAATTTTGCCAATATACGATTGAAAGATCAGCAAAACTGTGCAAAATAGCCTCAAACGTAATCATTTAAAATGAATATTTCATTACTATGACAGGTATAATCTTTTTATACTATTGTAAATCAATCACTTACCCTTTACAATTCTGATTCACTGGCCTTTTAAGATCCACTAAATTTTCAACTTTTTCATGGACTGGAAAGAGACCCCCGATGATGATATCTCCTGGAGCCTTCGCTCCCTTTAAATCATCAGGAATTTTGCATGACTGTGTTGTATTAAAAGACAAGGTGCACAGTACAGCGAGCGCGACTAGCAGAGTCATGCTTCTGAGCAATGCTGGACACGCTGCAACGAATGAGCTAGCTCAGGTTGAAATATGGAACATTAGGCAGTGAACAACTTCCTGATATTGCTGCAGGTTGTTATATGAGGAAAAGAGTCTCAAACATTCAGTCACACAGGCACACCTGGTTTCCCCTTTCTGTTTTTCATTGGTTTTTCAAGGCAAGTTCTCAGCATGCAGCATCACCCATGGCACCAATCAACAGGAGGTCGGTAAGGTTTCATTGCATGGGTGTCAGATTACAGTTTCATTCATTGATGAAATATGCTACTTTCAGGCCACTTTTAACACAATTTCTTTGAATGAGATTTAACACCAAAGACATCCTTATTATTTGGGCAACCTCCGTTCTCCCCACACCCACCCAACGCCATATACATCACTCTTGAGTGTTGCAAAATCTTTTTCCATGTTTTCTGGCTCATTTCCCCCCACCCATCACTTTCTGAACCCCCAATAGCTACCATTATCTGACTGCACAAAACCCTCAGGATTTGTTAATGCTGTTCCAAGCCAAACTTTTTTTTTAATTTGAAGAATCGTGGCATAAAAATATTTTTAATTTTAATGCAAAGAAGTCATCAAAGGGTTCAACTTTATTTTAATCTTGACTTGGCTGAAGATGAACCAGAAATGTTGTTGAATTTCAAGTTGAAATTCCATTGTTTAACCCGATCTTACATTGGAGAATAGCAACAAAGACGCTCAGTGTTCTTTGTTCTCAATGACCCCTAATATCTTGGCAATTCTTGACATCTGTAGTTTTACTTTAGAACGTCTATCTGTTTCACGCAGAGATGAAACAACAACCAAAACAACACAATTTGCATTTATATGGGCCCTATATGTCGTATAACATCGCGCAGAGCTTCACAGGGACAATGTTGAGTGCCGAGAGAGAGAGACTTGGAGGGAGGAGTTGACCAAGTGCGGTTGAAGAGGTGGGTATTTAAATAGGATATAAAGACAGTTGGGGAGGGGGGGGGGGAGATGGAGGCATTGAAAGAGGCAGTTCCAAATGGTGGGGGCGAAGTTACTGAAACATTGTGCTTCCCTATGGGTTTAATCTGTGTCTACCTGTTTTGATTTATAAACTCCCAATGCCTTCATAAATTTAATCTGCCTATTTACATGCCATGGTCTCTTTTGTTTTCCCCCAATAAAGATATTTACAAATCAAAGAGTTATTTGACAGAAACTGAGCAAAGGTGAATAATTAACTCATTGCATTGCAAAACCAAATTAGTAAAAGTTAGTTTAAATTGAAAGACTTTTATTGTGTTGATCTCATTAGCTGTTGTGTTCTGCTTCCAGAAGCAGCTACTGAACACCCAAAGTGTCAAGTTGCAAGGTAGGGTAGGTAACAGTTTTTCCTCGCAGAGAAAGAGTAGGACAGATGACTCTGTGCCAAATATGTTTTATAATAGTCTATAGAGTCCTTGTTCAGATTTTAAATGGTGCCTGTAAACTTGTTTGGGTTTTATTTTGTAAATCCTGGAACAGTTTGGATATGATATCAATACATGGTCTAAGAGTTTGCTTTATTTCCTCGTGTGGTTGAGATCTAATAGTTATGTTTAGCTCTGCGGGCAACAGTATATTCTTTCTCTTCCCAGAAACAAAGATGCCATTAATCATGGCTACATGACAAGCGTCTCCAAAAGTGAAGCAGGACAATAACTTCTGAATGGCATATTCTGTTTGTTACATTGTGAATAGGAAAATAGTCTTAATATATTATTGTGGGAATGGAAAATTAATGAAATGTCTATTTGTCCTCACTTTACCATTGTGATTTCTGACCAGTGGGAATATTCATTCAGATGTTGGGAGGTTAATTTCACATCGAGAAAAGAAGAAAGAACCCGCATTTTTATGGAGTTGTATTACATTAAAATGGCTCAAAGCACCTTACAGTAATTGCTGTCAAGCATAGTGACCATTATTGTAGGCAAATGTGATGTCCATTTGCACCATTAAATGATACAAGAAAAGAATGAGGAGATAAGAAGTAAGACAAGATAAAATAGGTTAGGTTGGATGGCAACAAGGTTGGAGTTTAAAAGCGTAGGAGAAAGGAAGGTTTGAGAAGCGAAAACAGTGTCCTAACACTTTAACCACAACATTTTGCCCAGGGAACATTGCTTTTAGTTAACTTTTTACTTATTTCACTTCTTTACACAATTTTGAGCTGTGGGGAATATAGGCGCACTCAGTAAATGTTGTTTACAATTACTATGCACTTTACAGTACACTTTGAGACATCCCCCATGTGAAAGACACTGTATCAAACGTAAGGTTTATTATTATTATAACTTTTTATTTCACAGTTCGGGTGTAAGGTGGAACGAAGAGAAAGAT